CGGAAGGGACTTCCTGTCTTCCTGGCTCAGGTAAACTTGGGCTCCTTTTCATTTGTGGTTGTTTTTTTTTTTTTTTTTTGGAAAACTAGCCCAGATCAGAGTTCACTTTGATACCATGGCACCCAGCACCTAGCAAACTCTGATAACATGGCACCCGGCACCTAGTGTGAGGGACTTTACTCTGGTTTGGTTTGGTAGGCTGGGGCTTAGTGCAGGGGCCTAGTTCAAAACAATGGCTTACCAATTTCACTTACCATGCATTTGCTCTTATCTTTTCACAAAGGAAGAAAATCGCATTCCTATTTTCTAATATTTTTCCAAACTGGATCTTTGAGGAATATATTCTGAAAATTTGGTAGTGATTCTGGCTTTTGAATTCTGTCAACTCACAAGTGTCCCACACAGGTCACACCCAAGTCAGTTCTTTGCTTTAATGAACAGTTGAATAAGAGAAAAACAGCAGGGGCCTCAGGATCATCTAGTCTTTCCCCACTGGCCCCCAGCTCCTTAATTGTTATTTGCATTCTTGCCTCATTGCATATGAATTGGTGTTTTAGATGCTTGAGTTTTTTTCTAGAACTATTCTTTCTAGTTTTTTTTGAATATAGTTGCTGGTCTTTTACAGAATGTGGACTTTTCATTTAACAGCAGGGCCCAGGGGCCATGATAAGAAGTCCTATCTGGACAGCCTGGGTTCCAGTCCCTACATCTTACCTGCGCCGCATTTTGTCAGTTGAGTGCTCTGTGGCTGGCTGACTGAGGGCTCCACAAGAGGACATAAAACTTCAAGCCCAGATGCTGCTGCTGGGCATTCACAATCCTACCAGGCACATCTTGGACATGCAGGGGCCTGCCCTGGAACCCTGTAGGGAGCGCTCCCCTTTCCACTGTTTTGCACTGTGTGCTCAGTTGGCAACTGGCAACAGCTTCAATACCTCCAGTGCCTGCTTCTGGGGAAAAGTTGATTGGGCACATGTTTGACGTGGAACAAGACCAGTTCCCAGAGCCCCGTGCAAGCTGTCGGTGCAGAATTTAGGGCTTTACCATTTTATTTACAAATTATTATCACGTATGCCATCCCACATTTGGGGAAGAGGCTAAAAGCAACCTCTTCAAAACTGTCCGATGCTTGGAGCATCACTGCCTCCCTTTCAGTGTTTGAACTCAGACCTGTCTTCACAGACAATTTACACTTCTTATCTGATCATCCAGTCCAGACGGAAGGGTGAATTGACAGTCTGCCGTGTCCATGGCAATGGTGTTAAAGCCCGGCACAGATCAAAGCTCTTCTTGCGAAGGGAGGAAGGGGGAGATGGTTGTACGGTCCGGGTTCTTTTGGCCACAAGCGATGTGTCCGGGATGTGGGAACATTAGGGCTGGGAGCTGCTACCGTCAGAAGAACCCATTGTCAGAACCAGAATGATTTCCAGAGCAAAACCCAACCCCCCACGGATCACGATTAACTCTAGCAAAGGAGAGTTTCCTGGCCAGGCGCTGCTGGGGAATGGCTAGCGCCAGGGGGCTCTCCTCTCGGTCAGAAAACTGCAAGGAAGAGGGGCGGAGGGAAGCACAAGCCAATAAACCCGAGCGTGGAGCCCCTGCCCTTCCCAGAGAAATTCAACCAGAGCCGCAGGAGCTGCCGCACAGATGGGCGGGATCCGCTAAGCTCGGTTGGGAAAGCTGATTCCCATACCTTAACTCAATGAGATTCCCAGAGGGAAGGCCGGTCAGACCATTCCACTTCCTCCCCACACCTTCTCCGGACGTTATCTTCACCGGTATCCCCACTCTCTCGCGGGGCGCCAGGGACCTGATGAGAAAGACTAGGGGCGCAGCCAGCTCCAGGCGATGGATGGCGGCAGCCGTTTCATCACAGCGCGCCATGCCTCCATTAACTTGTGTTGATATTAAAAAGAAATCAATCAGTGAAAATGAAGCATTGGCCGTGAATACTGTATTTCTTTTTCTCACGTGGAGAAGCTAAGAGCGGGGCGGCGGGGGAGGGAAGACTAGCTGGGACTGCAGAGGCTGCTCCTGGGGAGCCGCAGCCGCAACTTAACTTTCTGGCATTAGGCAGCTTCAAGGAAATGCCGCAGGCTTCTCCCCGCGGGTGTCCTTAGGAAGAGGAGGAGGAGGGGACAAGCCCGGAGGAATCTGAGGCGGCCAACTTCGCAGAGGCTTTAGCCTCGGTTTTGCTTTCGCTGGGAATATTTTTGCCTAATAGAATGTTTATAGATTGCTCAGCTCTGTTTCTGCTGCGTAGCCCAAACAAATCGATGCGGCGTTAAAGACGGAGCTGGCGGGGGGGGTGGGGGAATAGGAGAACTGGGGGGGGCCACCACGTCTCCACCACGTGGATGCTCCCTCGCCGCGTGCTCTTCACCTGTTCCGCGGCACAGGCGGGCGCGCAGCGCTTCTCGGAGCTGTGTAAGTTACGCGCATTCCTGCGGCTCGGGCTGGCTCCTTCCTGGCTACCTATCCGCCATCCCGGCTTCCCACCACCCAGCTTGGCTAGTGCTAGGATCTTCAGCTCGGGCCCCAGTCCCTCCGAAGCCAGCTCTCCAGAGGCTGCGGCTAGCATGCGGCGCAGAGCCGAGAGCGGGGGCAGAAGGGGGCGCTCCGAACAGGGCCAGGCAAGCAGCCGGGAGTCCCCGAGCCCCTGCGGGAGGGAGGCCGGTGGCTGCGCGGGGATCTGGCCAGGCAAGCGTGGCGAGGAGAGTGGGAGCCTGGTGCGCGGCGCCCACGCAGCCTCCAGCTGCGGGCCAACCCAGAGGCCGGGCACTGAGACCGCCCGGGTATTTGCCCAGTTGCTCCCCAGCGCGCGCCTTCCGCCCTCTTTTCCCCAATCCCTTCTCGGAATCGGTTCTTGCCGCCGCCTGGGCCGGCCCACCTCCCGGCCGGCGCACACCGGGTGAGTCAGAGGTCTATCTCGGCCTCGCCCTCTGCCACCCGCTGCCAGCTCCCCGGGTGCCAAGTCGGCTGCTCTGGCTGAAAGCCGGATCAGTCTATGACTGTCGATCGCCTTTTCGGGGATCCGGAGAATATCTACTCTGGGCAGGTCCCAGCTCCGGATCCCATCCCGGGTCCGGGGCTGTTGCGGCCCCGAGGTGGATAACCTGCCCTGCACTCTGGTCCTCTGGGCTTCTCTGGAAATGACGCAGCGCGAGCAGGGGTTGGAATGGGAGGGGGCTCTGCGGAGAGCGCGAGAGACAGGTGGCAGAGCGGGAGTGGGTCCGAACGGGTGTCGCACATACACGTATACATACTCCACACAGCACTCAGGGACAGATGTGCGAACATCTGGGATGGGAGATGGCCTCCGAATCTTCACAACCCCTCCCACACCACACAGCACACGGAACCAGAAGTTGTATGTGTCTGCGTCCCGGTTTGTGGTGTGTGTGCCAGCGTGCGCGCACTCGCATGCCGGGGCCTACCGGAGTCCGCGCCTGAATGCATAATACACCGTGGGCATTCTCACGGTGCGCGCGCACTCACGCAAGCACACACACACATACATAGCAAATCACACAAACATACATAATTTACGCCGCATTCAGGTCTGTGGGAAGTAATTTAATTTCGCTTCAAGCTGGGAATTTAAAATTAGGCTAGAAGGAATGGGAGGCCAGAAAACCTCAAGTCGGACTTGGACCCATCCTTGGAGATTTGCAGAGGACGAGCTGCAAATGGTTGGATTTGTGTGGCAAAGGCATTCTTCAGTCCTTCTCCCTCTCAAAACCCAAAACAACTCCGCAAAACCCCAGCTTAAAAGTGGGCTATGTGTGTGTAGGGAAAGGGGTGAGAATCTGCGTGCCAGGCGCAAAGGCTCCTTAGGGCTCGCTGGCCAGTCGTGCTGGGGGGTTGCCGAGGAGTCAGCCTCACCACTGCGGCTGTCACCTTCCAAGTGCCCTGTGGTAAGGGCGCTTCTGGAAGGTTTTTTCTCCTCTCTTTCTCTTCCTTCCTTCCTAGGTAGTTTCCCATCCCCAATCACCTGTAGCAGTTGCTAAGAGTTTTGTCAGATTACAGACACTGTTCTCAGCGGGGTGAGCCCCTCTTCCAGAGAGTGGTCCCAGGGAGGAAGGGCCAGGCTAGCCCCGCTGAACTGGAGTCCCTGAAACAAGAGATCCCTTTTCAGGGTGCGGATCCCTTGTCCCCACAAATGCTTCCCACCTCCCGGCTGTTGTGGGCCTCACAGTGCTTATCTCTGCAGTCTGTGTCCACACACACTTTTTGGCAGTGGTTGAGAACAAATTCCACTCAAAAGTTTGTAACCACTTCACAAGAATGAGAGACCTTCCAGGGCCATGCAGTTTGTTTTATCTAATAATAATTTTTAAAAGAACATATGATTTACGTTCCCAGAAAACACATGGAAGCAGGAGAGAGGGACCACCAACCGCCATGCTTGCCAGCAGCGCCCAGCGGAAAGCCCCTTTCTCAGCCGCAAGCCAACTTGCGCCAGCAGCCTGAGCCCTGTGTTGAGGCGTAGCCACCCACTCCATACAGAATCCACGGCATCTGAAAACCCAAACTAGACTCTTGTCTTTCCCAAGCCCGACAGTTAACATTGCTCAATGTAGCTAAGTGGAGGGAATGCAAATGATTTATATTTCATTGGCTAGGTTGAAGAAACTCAAGGGAGATGTGTTCTGCTTCAAGACAGGAAAAAAAAAAAATCCCCAAAAACTGTAATGCAAAGGCTTTGTAGTATTTTTAAACCTTTGATTCAGTCCATATGTGACATCTGAACACCGCCAAATTCTGTTACAAAACACACGCATACACACACACACACACACACACACACTCCTAGCACGAGAGAAAAGTTGGGTTTAGCAGCCCTGGTGGTGTATGGAAGGCCGGGTGGGACCCCTTTTTAAATTATTGAGTATTAAGGAACCGTTCTGCGTGGCCTCTCTGCATCAGCAGGCGCTTTTAAAGGGGAAACCATGTTGAAATGAAGAGAGAGCGAGAAAAAAAACTTTGAGAGGGCTTACCTTGTTGGCCTCTCACTTCGTGTCCTGAAAAGTAGAGAGCTAAGAAAATCCAGGTGAGAGGAAACATATCCATTTTGGAGAAGACAGGGTTTCTGCAGGGTTGGGTTTGTAGGATTCTTGTGTAATTATAAGTCTTTGTGTTTTTCTCTCTCCTATTTTCTTCCTTGCAATGTCTTCTGCCAAGGTTTCTTTCTAATGGTCAGCGTTTCTCTCCTGGGTCCTGGCCGCCCGTCTTCACCTTGATTCTTGCTGGAATCCCCACCTCGGCAGGAGGAGGGTAGCTTCCAAAATCAGCGAAGAGAGACGGACGCGTTTCCTCTCAAAAGCAAAACGCATCTATGTTCTTTCCAGTTCCTCAAAGTGTCATTTCCTTTATCCTACAACATCACGAGTATTTCCCGAAAGCCAAGCGTAAAATAATAACAATAATAATAATAATAATAGAAATGAATGGCAAGACTTGCCTTGGGCATCACACTGCCCCCAGGCAACGGTGCGATCTCAGAGGCGTAAACTGACACACGTCCCCAGCACCCGGGACGCACACGCGGGCGGAGGCGGGGAGCGCTGGACAGCCGGAGTGGGAGGCGGTCACCTCGCTCTTGTCCCCGCCGGGCTCTCCTACACCCCCAACGGCTACACCCGCTTGGCCAGCCTCTCGAGGGGAGTCTAAGGAAGGAAGCTGCGGCGGCGGCTGGTGCTGCTGCTGGAGCGGTGGCGGAGGCGGGGATCGCCTGGGAGCGAGCGAGCCCCTCTCCGAGTTCGCTGGCGCCCGCCCTCACCTCCACCTCGCCCAGCGCCTGGCCGAGTGTCTGCGCGTCGGAGGATGTGCTAGGGGCGGGCTGCGGACCGCTGCCTCGCTCGCCTCCTCTGCCTCCCCTCCGGCTCCCCCCTGCCTTTTCAGGCCGAGCAGCATGTGGATGTCAGAGCCGCGGCAGAGCTATCCGATTACGCGCCGGCTCAGGGCCCGCCCCTTCTGTGTTCCTGATTAAAGAGGCAGCCGCGGAGACGCGCGGCGCAGAGCCGAGTGCCGCGGCACCCAGCTCGGGCGGGGCGTTGGCGCTTCCTCCGGGCCGCCGCCCGATCCAAGTTCAGGCTGCGCGCGCCCCGCCGCCCCTCTCCCACTCCGCACCTCCCTCCCGCCCTGCGCACCTTGGTGCCCGGCCACCCGTGCGTCACGCTCCGGGGAAGGAGCGCCCCCCCGGCACCTCCAGGGCGCACTGCCCTTGGCCGCATCGCCCCCGCCGGAGGGAAACTCCGCGGAACCGGGGGGGAATCCTTGTTTTCCTTAAATTCCGTGACTCCAAGGCCACACACGCAGAACCCAACACAATGCCACGCGCAATGGCGTTACAAGACGAGTTGGGTGGCTCACGGTGTTTGGGGTAGGGAGCCAGTCGGCAGCTCAGCCATGTGTTCACAGAGGCAACGGTGCGTGGCGGCGACACACACACTGTCAGCCCCAGCTGAATAAAACCCCAAACACTCCTTGCGTTTACCACTGGGGTCCTTTGTTGTGTCCCAAACAGTCTCCTGTGCTGTCTGGGTAAGGATGTAGTTATTCCTGCACCCTTAACTTACAACCGTTATGAGACTAGAAAGATTTTTATTCAGCAACATTTCTCCAGGTAATTAAATCGGATCCCCCTCGCAAACATCCCCCCAAATTACAGGTACTTGAAGTCTTCTCGAAATGCAACTATAACTCCTTCTATTCACATTTTCCACATGGAAATGTGGTCACTACACTGAGAGAAAGAAAACAGCGTTTTGCCAACTATTTTTAAGTGGAGGCGTGAAAAGGGAGCTGAGAGCTGACAGTTGGGAAACACTTGTATCTTTGTTTCTGAGGGTGGCCCTGTGGATTCCCAACTGTCTTGTTCACTAGACACCTATTACTCTACTATCATAGAGACTCAATGGAAACAGCCTAATAATAACCCTGCCTATGCCTTTTCTGTCAGTCTGCAGATTAAGAAAAATAAAGTTTGAGTGACAAGAAACACACATTTGACTCCATTTTCTTCTTTGCTTGTACCTGTGGATTCTTCTGGGTAGTTTGCTCCTTATCTGGACTTGCCATTAGCTTTGTTTATCACTTTTAGTGTTTGAAAAATCTGTAACTCCCACTTAACTGTTATTTACACGGAGATAACCAAAACAAAATTGAATCAGAAGTGATTTGCAACAAGTTGAGCCAAGTCATAGAGGGATTTGACTTTGGAAATCCACAGGCTGAGTAGCAATCACCATGTTAATCTTGGAGGCCTGGTTGCAAAGAGCAGGTAGAGAGGCTACCTCAGTTCTTCTAGAGAGCATTTCGGGGGTCCCCTGCCCCAGGCTACCTTTCATTTCCTCCGTTTTCCCTTTTCCTCCCTCCTTCCTAGGCTCCAGAGTGCATCCAGCATTATCAAAAATTCCACCTTTACATTTTTCCTTTTTAAAGTTCAGTTTTTAAAGAGAGATTCCCATCCCCAAATATTTGATGAGGAAAAGGGGCAGCCTGATTTGGAACCTTGTTCAGGGATCCCGGCTTATGTCATGCCAAACTGCTAATCTAAGGACAAATAATACTATCTACAGTGACAGGGTCAGTTAGTGTCACCTCCCCCACCACTCACCAGGCATACCAAACCATTCCAGCAAGTGAGAGAAACCTACTTCTGCTATAACCAGAGTTAAGGGCACGATGAAGAGAGGGGAGAGAGAGGAATCGGAAGCCCACTGGGAAAGTTTTAAGAAGGCCAACTCTGGACTGCTGGCCTTGGGGTCTCAGGGTTGAGGCCCCCATCCTCAGTTCTATATCCCAGGGCCCTTGGTGCTCACTGAGAGAAAGCAAGGTGCTGCGTTTCAGTGCTGTATTCCTGGCCCCTGCTCCCAGCTCCCAGCATGATGGATTTTCATTTTTCTGAGGTGTCCTAAAGAGGGAGCTAACTGCCTTCCTGGGAGCCTCTCTGTCTGCCGCTGCAAGACTTCTCAGCAGTCCTCTGGAGTGAAGGCCTCATTTCCTGCAGCTGGGTGGTGGGGGAGACGGAGCCTTAGGTTCAGAGCCCTGGGGACTCCAAGCAGCCAGAGCATTTTCCAGTCCTGTAGGGGGCAGCACTCAATAAATAATTCCACCACCACCTATGGACACACTGAGTGGGTGATGCCTTTGCTTCCAGTAGCACAAAGCCTTCCTCAGACCAGGGAAGATTCAGATTGAGGCTGGCTCACTTCCAGCCCATTCTGAGTAAGACCTCACCGGCCCAGGGAGGGTTTAGAATTTCTTTAATCCAGGACTTTTAGGGACTCTTGGGAACAAAACACAAATCCCACCTGTGCCATGTGGAAAAGGGATATGTAGGGAAATTCTCCAGACTATGGCTGGCTCAGACCCACCAGCCTTGTTTTCTTGTGGGTGGGATGGGAGAGGGGGATTGGTTTCAACCAGAGGGGTAGTGGTGAGAAACCAGGAGCCGTAGCCATTGCAAGTTGGGTGAATCTACCTCTTGACCCCCAGGGAATCATGCCTACTAAAACAGAAACAGTAGGTTTCTGAACTTAGCCCAACTGGCTGGAAAACAGCTAACTAGTAAAGCTAGATTCCTGACCACATCACTCACTCATCTAGGATGTTTCACGTCGTTATCTTTAATTGTGAAATAATAACAGCTAATCCCGTCCTGCATTCCATTCCATTGACAGGAAGGGATGTGGGGGAACATAAAAGGATTTGTAATGATGCTAAGAGAGAGCTGTTCTTCAGTCACACCCCAGTGAAAAGTTGGGGTGTTACCAGCTAGATGGTCCCAAACCTGTGGTTACATCAGAATCACCTGGGGCAAGTGCTAAAAATTCAGGTCCCGGCACACCAACCTCTTGTATCTTGGATTCCTCTGGTCTCGAGTGGCGTCTGGTAATCTGTATTTTTTGTCTGGCAGTTCTGTGGTTTGAGCGTGGGGCCTTGTGCTTACTGGGCAGGAACTCTACCACTTGAGCCACCCCTCTAGCTGTTTTTGCTTTTTAAATTATTTTTCAGACAGGGTCTTACACTTTTTGCCCAGGTCAGCCTCAGACCTTGACCCTCCCACCTATGCCTCCCATATAGCAGGGATTACAGTCATGGACCACCAAGTCTATCTTATTCTTTGAGACAGGGTCTTACTAACTTTTTTCTTTTGGGTCTAGGCTGGCCTCAACTCATGATCCTCCCATCTTTGTCTCCTAGTAGCTGGGATTGCAGGTGTGAGCTACTGTACTCTGCAGACTATATTTTTTAACACAAATTTTTAGGTGATCCTGATGTGAAGGCCCATAGACAACTGCATAATAATTCTAATGTATTTACACGTACTTTCAATCACATTGAAAGACATCTGGAAAAGTATCTCTTCACATTTCCTCTCTGGACACTTTCCAGATAGGGGGCAGGTAGTTTAGTTTTCTGGGGAAAACGACCAAGAACATGTCCTTTGAAATGCCAGGGTGGTGGGCTTCCTGGCTTCACTTTGTGAGCTTCGGCAGCAACAATCCAGAGCCTGTCTGAAATACCAGCACGCTCACCTCATGGGGCAGGAGTTTTGCAAGAACATGTTCAAAGGACCAGTGGGCAGGGTTTATGGTCCTGGATCCAGCCTTCTCTCCCTTCTACTGTTGGTGGTTACTGGAAACTGGCTTCAGGTGCGACTTTCCATCTGTGTTCATCACAAGGCACTTATGAGATGCTCATGCATGCATGACTACGCAGGAGGGACGGAAGCAAGGCAGACATTGAGGTCTTGCCTCCTGGGAACACAGGATCTAAAAGCTCCAGAAGTTTCATGCAGCCACCATAGATACCGCCTGTCACTTGGTGCTTCCCTTATCTGAGCCCTGACATTGACAAGCTCTCACCCTGAAAGGGAGAGATAGGAGGCATAATTGCATCTTAATCTGTAATTTACCACACTGCCCTGTTAATGTTTAGCTACATCTGTCTCAAAAGCAAACCTTCAGTTAAAATGTAATAGGTCCTCATTTTTTATTCTCTCTCTTGTTTGACGTTGAAGTCCAGCTTCTGATCAATAGGGTTTTCTTTCCCACTCTCTTTGAAAACAATCAACACTTTTCTTTTTTTTTTTTTTTCCTCCCCAACATTTGAACACTGCCTAGCAGTTGTGATTTGATTTTATCTTTGGTGGGTTCCCAGAATCCTTGCAAATTTCCTCTAAGTATTGAAATCTCTTTCACTGTAAAACCGGTGGGTGCTCCTCTCGTTCTCACACACAGATTTGGTGAAAGGGAACCTCATAAATGAAAACAATAATAAAGCAACAACAAAACGTGCAACATTCCTGGAATCTTTGGCAAAGAACACTAAAGAAGTCAAATTGTTCCTTCTATTCTGCTTGGTTTTAGCAAGAAAGTCTCCTTCCACTGCACTAAATTTTATACTTTTGGAGACTTGGAGCACCAAAAAAGCCCCAGTGGACTCACACTTTGCAACAGCACTCTCCACGCAACTTTGTGCCATTGTGGACTGCCTGTGCTTTTCACACTGCCTTTGGCCTATGAATTGTGACCAGTGTGACAAAGTGTCTGAATATTAGGTAGTATTTAATTTTATTGATTTAAATTTAAGTTGTGTGTGCCAGCTAGCACAATGGACAGATCAGCTTTTGATAATCAGAAAACCAGGGCTGGTTGTTTCCCATAGAAGTCCACAGCCTTATAAATCAGAGGCTTCCAGTTCACAAAGAAGGGAACCCCAGCACCAGCAGAAGCTCTGTTTGCCAAGGCTTCCTTTAAAAATGCTAGGTTTCTATTTGGCTAGGGAAGAGAAGGGCTAGCTCATATTATCATGTGCTCCTACTCTGCTCTTTTGGATGACTTTTCCAGAACATTCATGGAGAA